TGTGTGTGTTGTGTGCGTGTATATGTGTGTGTGTGTGTGCGTGTATGTGTGTGTGTGTGTGTGTGTGTGTGTGTGTGTGTGTGTGTGTGTGTGTGTGTGTGTGTGCAGGGGACGAGGACATGGCCTGGCAGTGTCTGGGCGTCCTGCAGGAGGGCCTGTCCCACAGCCCCTCCAACGCCCAGTTCAAGCTGCTGCTGCTGCTGCTGTACTGCCGCCTGGGCGCCTTTGAGCCCGTCGTGGATCTCTACTCCAGTCTGGACGCCAAACATGTGCAGCACGACACCATCGGGTCAGTTTCCCGCCACCTCCGGTCAAACCTCTCCCATCCAGAGGAGACTTTTGGCTCAACAGCCACTGATTTTGATTGTTTTCTGGCTTCTAAACTCGGAAAAATGAACCCTAAATCACAATCTGAATCAGAAATGACTATGAGTTAGTTACAATATTTTATTAAACAATAAAAATACACTTAAAAAAAAAAAAGAAATTAAAACTAGGCTTGTCCCGATCCGATATCTGGATCCGATCGGCCGCCGATATTTGCAAAAAAACTGCGTATCGGAGAAAATGCAGACGAGGACTCCAGATCCAGTTTTATTTTAGAGTCCAATCCCACATTAGCATTAGCATTAGCATCTCATAACCCACAGGTCTGTGTCCTAACCATTAAGTTGTTATCAGAGTAAATCCCTGTTCAACATGAGTCAGAGAACTAATGAAGTAGATAAATAACTTTAAACTTTAACACGTGCTCTGATAGGCCGGGATCTGTATCGGATCGGAAGTGGAAAAAAAGCTGGATCGGGACATCCCTAATTAAAACATTAATGTCTGATGGTGTCAGTATGAGGCCAGAAGGTCAAAGGTTAAAAAAGAAAAGTGTCATGGCTGGAGGCCAAAATGGGATCTCCTCATATAAAGAGATCTGAGGAGGGAAAACCCAGAAAAATGTTGTCCTTTTGTACGAATCCACCCGATAAAGCTGAACCTCTGAGCTCTTCAGACTAGGGTTGTCACGATACAAAAATTTTCAACTCGATACCGATACTCAAGGATAAAAAGAAAGACCCCAAAATTCAACTGAATTGTGTCTTTAATTTCAAACTGACCTGTTACTGATGTTATCGTGACTGGTGGCCCACAATAATGACCCTGACCCTAACCCTAACCCGAAATGAATATTTTTTGGTTGAATTTGTTTGGACTTATTGAACAAACCGATTTAATATACACTATTTTAACATAATATGTATAGAGTTTAATTAAGTGTTTGAAAGATTCATTTTACTATTAAATTAATCTCTATATTGCCATGAAGCAATTAGGATTTTCTTGCCTGGGATCTTCCTATTGGTGACCTAATCAAAATGGCCGACTTGGATGTGGGCGGAGTTGGATATCTATTTGATTAATGGTAGCATGTTATTATTAGCCATTAGCCGCAGTTAGCAAGGCTAACGTCTTGTTAATGATCATAAACAACGTAAATAAATACATAAATAAATCAGAGAGAAGGGGGGGGTGGTATCGATACTTTTGAAAATGAGTATCGTATCCGGATACAACATTTTAGTATCGATACTTTTGACAACCCTAGACTGACGGCTGCCTCTCTCTTCCAGGTTCCTGTTGACGCGCTACGCAGAGTCTCTGGGTCAGTTTGCCGCCGCCTCCCAGTCGTGTAACTTCTCCCTCAGGTTTTTCCACTCCAACCAGAAAGATGTAAGCCCCGCCCCCCTCCCCACTCAGACACCGCCCGCCACCCTATCTAAACAACTCCCCCACTCTGTTTCCCTTCCCCAGACCTCAGAGTACATCATCCAGGCCTACAAGTACGGGGCGTTTGAGAAGATCCCGGAGTTCATCGCCCTCAGGAACCGTTTGAACCAGTCGCTGCATTTTGCCCAGGTCCGCACGGAGAGGATGCTCCTGGACCTGCTGCTGGAGGCCGATATGTGAGTCCAGGAGCGGGGGTCTGAGAGGCCTAAACCGGGCCTGACGGGTCCGTGTGTGGGTCTCTGTTAGGGATGAATTGAATTGAATTGAATTGAATTGAATTGAATTGAATTGAATTGAGGGCGGCACGGTGGTGTGGTGGTTAGCACTGTCGCCTCCCAGCAAGAGGGTTCTGGGTTCGAATCCCGGGGGAACCAGGACCTTTCTGGGTGGAGTTCGCATGTTCTCCTGTGTCTGTGGGTTCTCTCCGGGTTCTCCGGCTTCCTCCCACCGTCCAAAAACCTGCATGTTAGGTTGGTTGGAGATTGGGGAAATTGCCCTTAGGAGTGAATGTGAGTGTGAGTGGTTGTTGGTCCTTGTGTGTCTCTGTGTGTCCCTGTGATGGACTGGCGGACTGTCCAGGGTGTACCCTGCCTCTCCCCGCTGACCACTGGGATAGGCTCCAGTTCCCCCGCGACCCCATCAGGGAATAAGCGGTATTGATAATGGATGGATGGATGAATTGAATTGAATTGAGGGCAGCCACACAGGAGGGCGCACCAATTTTTCTTCAGAACAAAAAGAATACATTGGGAAAGCGGTTGCGGGAAGAGGGAAAAAAAAGACCCAGTGCCACGCCCCCTACAGGGGACGTAACGGTGATTTAAAAAAACACCTCAGTACACTGAAGCACAGATACAGTCAAATCACAACATCAAGGACACATAGGGAGGGAGGGATGGGGGGTTGGAAGGAAGGGGAAAGGTAACAGCGAGGTAGTGAGTTTCAACCTTTTTTGAGCCAAGGTACATTTTTTCATAGAAAAAATCCCGAGGCACACCACCAACCAAAAATGTTAAACAAATCTGTAGCCGCCTATAGTAACACTATAGTTATTCTTATTTTATTCTTATCTTATCCTAAGTGTCTTGAATAGGAATCAAATAAACACAAAAATGTATTTTTATCATATTTTATAATTCTTCTTTCAAATTGCACTTAACATGTCCACTTCAATATACAAAATTATATACAAAATCTATTCATAAGGAATTATTACATGATTACTCCACCAGTCACTCCTACAGCATAGACACTCAAAAACGGCATATTAATTGCAGATAATTATTTCCTTATCAAAAAATCTTTTTAGACCAATTAGGTGAAATAGGATGATTTTCTACGGCACACCTGACCATCACTCGCGTCACACTAGTGTACCGAGGCACGGTGGTTGGAAAAACACTGATCTAGCAGAGCCTTCACCACGCTAAAGACCATCCAGACTGTCTTCAGTAGGGATGGGACGGTTTCTGAAAACCGTCTGAACCGTTGGGTTGGACTGTCTCGGTTCGGTTCGCGTGTGTTGCGTTCGGTTCCTGCTGCTCCTTTTTCTCAGAGGGAAGCGTTTACACTCCAGAGCAGAAGGGGGCGCTACTGCGCCCAAAGCCAACCACCAGTAGCAAACAAGAAGAAGAAGTGAAGCAGCTTAGAAGATAAAAATAAGACAACAGCAGTTTATAGGTCTGCTGTATTTTTTTATTTATTTTTATTTAACCTCTATTTAACCAGGAAGTCTCATTGAGATTCGGAATCTCTTTTTCAAGAGAGACCTGGCCAAGGTAGCAGCCAAACCACAAAAAAAAAACATACATAACACATTTTACATAATAAAATGGGACCACTTTGCATTTAGAGTGATGCATATGTTGGAATTAGCACTGTTTCC